ATGCTAGTGCATTGCTCTGCAAAGCAAGTGCAGTGTGATGGGGTGCTACTCGGAATCAGACCATTGCATGTCAATGCACTGAAATGCTGTGAACAGGCCCTTAGCTAAACTAAGTTAAAGCAGAAGGAAAAATTAAGGTTGTTTATGGCGGCTTTTAAAATTGAACTTTAACCGGCCGCTGGGTGTTACAGAAGCTCTTTTAAACTATCCTGGACCTGTCCTTGTGCAAAAAAAAAAATCTACAGATTAGCAAAAGTATGTAGTGAAAAACAAAAAAGTAAGCTACAGTGCACAAATACAGAAAGGATGACTAAAAAAAAAAAAAAAAAAAAAAAAAAAAAATGGTGCCACTCCTTAATGTGCATTGCATTAAGGCAGCTCATTCATATAAGTGGTGCCCAACAAGCCACAGCAGACCTGAAGTCACACTTGCACCATTTTTTACCATATATAATGCTGCTCTACAACACAAGTGTATTGCTTTAAGGTATAATTTAGCCGTGCGTCTAAAACGCCTTTTATTTTGAAGCCCAGTCCATGTTCAGATCTCGCTTTAGAGGCTACTGACAGGCAGGAAGGAAGCGATGTGATGCCTCCTCACAGCCTGTCTTAACACCATTTTTGCCAACAAATGTGCCGCAACCACATGTATTGCACGCAGTAGTGGGGCATTTGCGGCTCTTCGTGTGTCACCCACCGATCGCTACATGTCGGGTAAACTTTGCCCGTGGTATGCTGCCTATTGCAGCTTAAGGGGGGCTATTGGCAGGCAGCAAAAAAAAATTCAGCTCAACCACACATTTTTGCTGCTCCCCAACTGCATGTCTAAATGAAACCTTATTGCGTTGGGTACTGTTCAAAATGAATAGCACTACAACAAGGTATGTGTGCGGCAGTAAATTAAATACACCCTCCAATTAAAGAGAAAAGTAATAGATTTTTTTTCTAGAAAATTTTGCCCAAGTAACATAGTAAGCAAATTTGGAAATCTGTTAAAAGCTTGGCTCCAGTACAATGTATTTCGCTGAAATGGCTACACCTCTTCTTCAGTGAAGACACAAGTTTTTACTCCAAATGATCATGAAGATGACTAAGATGAAACAAAAAAAAAAAAAAACTTTTAAACTCTGTTCACATTATAGTTAATATATCAGTTATAGCTTCTACACAAGCCATTAAAAAACGTAACCAATAAAATTACCTCTCCATTTCAATTCACAGCTGCTGTTATTTTCTAAAACTGTCTAAAGGTCCAAATGTAACTTCTTTGCCGCATCCTAGAGGCCAGCTGTCCTCCATAGTCCTAGAAATCTCCTTTGCTGACTGTGTGATTGGCCAACTGTTCTTCCCAGACCTCTTCACTGAGACGTTTCAGGCATCCCCTACAATAGGAGCTCCATTTGTTGAGTTACTCTTTAAGGCCATCATTGCAGATCACTTACATAGGACAGAGATCACCAGGTGTCTGATGAGTGAGGACCTTCCCATTCAGAAATCAGCGTGAGGTCCTTCCCATTCAGAAATCAGCGTGGGAACCTTCCCATTCAGAAATCAGCGTGGGAACCTTCCCATTCAGAAATTAGCGTGGGAACCTTCCCATTCAGAAATCAGCGTGAAGACCTTCCCATTCAGAAATCAGCGCGGGAACCTTCCCATTCAGAAATCAGCGCGGGAACCTTCCCATTCAGAAATCAGCGCGGGAACCTTCCCATTCAGAAATCAGCACGGGAATCTTCCCATTCAGAAATCAGCGTGGGAACCTTCCCATTCAGAAATCAGCGTGGGAACCTTCCCATTCAGAAATCAGCGTGGGAACCTTCCCATTCAGAAATCAGCGTGGGAACCTTCCCATTCAGAAATAAGCGTGGGAATCTTCCCATTCAGAAATCAGCGTGGGAACCTTCCCATTCAGAAATCAGCGTGGGAATCTTCCCATTCAGAAATCAGCGTGGGAACCTTCCCATTCAGAAATCAGCGTGGGAACCTTCCCATTCAGAAATCAGCGTGGGAACCTTTCCATTCAGAAATCAGCGTGGGAAGGTGAAACAAACAACAACTTCTTCAAGAAGAAGGTAGGAATCTACAAAACGTTTGCTAAAATCTATGCAATGTATAGTGGTTACCCAGAAGGGACAGATTTGGTCCTATACTTTAGCACAACCTTTTTCAAGCAGGGTGCCTTGGCCAAATGCAAAAAATAGTCAGCAAGCTGACAGGGAGATCAAGCTTGCCTTCTTACACTAATGCAGGCCATAGATGGGGAGAAAAACTGCAGATTTTTCTTTTAAAAAACGAAAAATCGGTTGTTCAAGTGGCCGACGTTACCATCAATGGTAAAAAAAAATCGGCCGATTTTCTACCCGTCTAGAGCCGGCAAAAAGTGTCCCTGCAGAGAGCTCTGCTATTTCTTTGACAGTTCTCTGACAGTTCCTTGACATTTATAGAAGTTGCAACAATGTATCTATTTGTTTCCATTTAGGATACAGATGTTTTTATTCGGAAACAAATAGATACAATGTTTCAACCGCTGTAAATGTCAAGGAACTGTCAGAGAACTGTCAGAAATAGCGGAGCTCTCTGCAGAGACACTTTTTGCTGGACTGGAATTCTTCTTATTTTCATCCTACTTCTTCTTCTTCTTCTTCTTCTTCTTCTTCATCCTCATCCTCTTCTTCTTCTTCTTCTTCATCCTCATCCTCATCCTCTTCTTATTCTTCATCCTCATCCTCTTCTTCTTCTTCTTCCTCATCCTAATCTTCTTCTTCTTCTTCATCCTCATCCTCTTCTTCTTCTTCTTCTTCATCCTCATCCTCTTCTTCTTCTTCTTCTTCATCCTCATCTTCTTCTTCATCCTCCTCTTCTTCTTCATCCTCCTCCTCTTCTTCATCCTCCTCCTCTTCTTCATCCTCTTCTTCTTCTTCATCCTCTTCTTCATCCTCTTCATCCTCTTCCTCTTCATCATCCTCTTCTTCTTCTTCATCCTCATCCTCTTCTTCTTCCTCTTCCTCATCCTCTTCTTCTTCCTCATCCTCTTCTTCTTCATCATCCTCATCCTCTTCTTCATCATCATCCTCTTCTTCATCATCATCCTCTTCTTCTTCTTCATCCTCTTCTTCTTCTTCTTCTTCTTCCTCATCCTCTTCTTCTTCATCCTCTTCTTCTTCATCCTCTTCTTCTTCATCCTCTTCTTCATCCTCTTCTTCATCGTCTTCCTCTTCTTCTTTTTCTTCTTTTTGTCTTCCTCTTGCAGGTCACTGCTCATGCGCAGATTTTTTATCGGTAAAAAATCGGCCGATTTGCCCACTAATTGCCGCGAAAATCGGGCCGATCGGCAAAATCGGCTGATTTTTTCCCAACTTTACCGAAAAAAAAAAAAACGGCCAAAATACCGAAAAACGGCCGACCAAATCGCCCACTAACGATCCGAAAATCGGCCGATTTTATTTTCGGCCGAAAAATCGTCCGATTTTCGACCCATCTATGGCCTGCATAAGCCATAGGTTTAATCATGCAGCATTACAACCAGGGGCATAGTGCAGGACCAGCTGCTCGCATATTAAAAACCAATGATGTCTTAGGTTGATAAGGAGGATATCAGACACCTGAGGATGTCCCTGTTTGCCCCTCTCAGTCACAACTGGGGTCACATTAGCTGAATCAGGGAGAGAAACTTAGGCTGGCCATACATTATACAATTATCTGCAGATTTTCTGCCCAATTTCCTTTAGATTTACCTTCAACTATGTAGTGCAAGGGCCTGCCTAATTGGATACAACTGAAAGTGTTGTTTAGGTTTGTCCTCCTATTATATGGTTTTTGGTAAATCTAAACCAAAAATCTGCAGACATATGACTGAAAAACCGCACCAAAAACGCAATTTTTAATGCATTGTTGCTGCTTTTTCCATTAATTTCAATGGGGAAGTGCATTTTTTTTTTTACCGCACAAGACCTGCACCAAAAATAGAGCAAACAGAATTTTAAAAAACCAGCGCGGACCAGTGTGAAGAGTTCAATAGGAATACATAGATACATAGTCAAGTTTTTTTCTTCTGCCTTTTTTCTATATTTTTTTTTTTTTAGAAAAAAGCAGATGAAAAACAGATCAGTGTGAAAGCAGCCTGAGGGGGAAAGGAGAAATACTGGAATACTAGTCAGTACCAGTGTTCAAAGGTGCATTTGCGTTTTAAAAATAAATCACCTCTATCGTTGGGTGTCCTGTGTGTCGATATCGCTGCATTATTTAATAAGTATTCATTTATTTCCTTTTACATTTTAGAATGTGATGCCTTGAGATTGTGCATAATTTTAAAGGGTGCCTTAAAAAATGAGTTCACCTCTAGACAAAAAATAATAAATGCACATTTTTTTTTACAGGTAACAAAATGTGTATTTATTATTTTTTGTTGCAGGAGCCTGGAAAGCATTGCACCAGCGATGAGCAGATCACTGGTGCCATGTAGATCCTGCAGATCTTTCAGTATACAGTATCTGCTTGCACATAAATCCTATACGGGCCAGCAGATATACTGACAGGAAGAATCAATGACCTACCACAGTTCCCAGGTAGTTAATAGAGAACTATAAGCCGACATCCACAAAGGCTTTTGGTATTTGTAGTTCATTCACAGTACTCTGTGAATGCAAGATGTGGCCTGTGTGGGCGGAGCCCTGCACGGCTGTGCGGTTTTAAAAAAAAGTGGTGGCTTGTACAGGGAACTTGACAATAAAACCTGCAAACTGATTGGTTTCTATGCAGTGCTGCATCAGATTCTGTGTGCACTAGTTATTGTAAATTCCCCCCTCCACATTGCTTTAGAAGGTTCAGAGCCAACACTCAATTCTTGCACAAGTATGGGTGTAAAAAGTAAATGCAAGTGGTCTATTTCTTTAGTACATTAACTCCTATGATGCTGGATTCACACTGCTGCAGTGTGCTAATGTGGATTAATTTCAAATGGGCTGCCTAATGCACTGTTCCAATCACCTCCATGGTCACAGGTGTGTAAAATCAAGCACCTAGGCATGCAGACTGCTTTTACAAATATTGGTGAAAGAATGGGTCGCTCTCAGGAGCTCAGTGAATTCAAGTGTGGTCCCGTGATAGGTTGCCACCTGTGCAATAAGTCCATCCGTAAAATTTCCTTGCTACTAAATATTCCACGGCCAACTGTTAGTGGGATTATAACAAAGTGGAAGCAACTGGGAATAACAGAATCTCAGCCATGAAGTGGTAGGCCACGTAACATGACAGAGTGGGGTCAGCGCATGATGAAGCGCACAGTGCGCAGAAGTCATAAAACTGTCTGCAGATTCAATACCTCCAAACTTCGTGTGGCCTTCAGATTAGCACAACAGTGTGTAGAGATCTTCATGGAATGGGTTTCCATGGCCGAGCAGCTGCATCCAAGCCTTACATCACCAAGTGCAATGCAAAGCGTCGGATGCCGTGGTGTAAAGCACACCGCCACTGGACTCTAGAGCAGTGGAGACGTGTTCTCTGGAGTGATGAATCACACTTCTCTGTCTGGCAATCTGATGGACGTGTCTGGGTTTGGCAGTTGCCAGGAAAACGGTACTTGCCTGACTGTATTGTGCCAAGTGTAAAGTTTGGTGGAGGAGGGATTATGGTATGGGATTGTTTTTCAGGGACCTCTGATGTATAGTGGGAACTCCAATGTGATGGGGGATGAACCACTGATATGAAGGCAGTTCTGATGTGGTGGTGGGACCTCTGATATGATAGAGGGCTCTGATACGATGAAGTGACTCTGATGTGATTGGGGGGGTTTGATATCATGAGGGACCTCTGATGTGAAGTTAATTTCATCAGGATGGTTGTGTGCATTGCCCCAGGCTCAGGTTTGCTTTTACATATTACACCCGTATTCAGCATGCACCCCTTGTGACAGCAGTCAGGGGATCTTCTTCCCCAATCCACAGTCACAATTGGAAAACAGCAAGGCCATGTGGTGCTCCATCTGCGCTGCCACATCATTTACTCATAGTTTCCTGTAAATGAATGCACTAATGGTACTGTTTAGAGATGAGCGAAGAAATGAAAAATTCGATTCGACTGATTCGGCGAATTCGTGGACAATATTCGATTCGAGTCGAATAAATTCGCTGTGAATTTAACTTAAAAAAGGGTGTTTCTAGGCTTCAGAGAGACTTAATATTAGTGCAGAACACTGTACCTTTAATTTAAATGCCCTTGGAGTCTGCTGGGGAAGAGAAATAATACTGTCTGTCAGTATGACATGCAGATGAGTGCCGTCGATCTTAGAATCACTGCACACTTCACTCCTTTGGCCAGTCACGGGGCCAAAACCAGTGTTTGGAGCCACAGTGTGGCGGTGGAGGCAGCAGCAATGGGAGGCCATACAGCAACCTATGACAAAATGGAAACCAGCAGGAGCGTGAGGAGACCTGAAAGTGGCACATGGCAGAGTGGGAGCAATGGGAGGCGGTACAGGGACCCAGGTCACACTATGGGCCCAGCAGCAGCGTGACCAGGCGGTACGGGGGCCCATGGCCGATATGGGGCTTGGTGGCACCTATGGAAGGCCTGTAATCTGCCAGCAACCTATGACAAAATGGACAACCGCAGGAGTGTGAGGAGATTTCAAAGTGGCACATGGCAGAATGGAAGCAATGGGAGGCCGTACAGGGACCCAGGTCACACTGTGGGACCAGCATCAGCGTGAACAGGCGGTACGGGGGCCCATGGCCGATTTGACCTCATTCATCCCATAGTCCTGCCGACTCACGAATAGCGTGGCCTCCTCAAAGGGCCTGAGCAAGCGCAGGTGTCACACATGAGCTGACAATGGCTGACATCTAAGTTACACAGGGAGTACCTTTATCCGCTTTTAACATCAGGAAATCTGTGATGGCCTTTAGC